CCTTATGTAAAACAACTTACTTGCAGCTATGGACTGTATACTCTCTTAATCAGGTATATAACTTGGTGAACCAGCGCAGTGGGTTAGCCTGGGCTAGCAGCCAAACTCCCACCTAGCCACTGGCTCAGCCTATATAGGGAAAACAGGAAGAACAGGAATGAGAAAACTCATAGGTCAAAATAAAGACAAGGAAAATGGTTACCAATTTCTGTTGTGGGCAAAACAGATATGACTTGGGAAAATTAACTTAATTTATTTTCAGTTAAAGTAAATACTTAATTATTGATTGAAAAAGTGGGAAACAAAATGACAAACACTGAAACAAATCCCCATTCCCAGGCTGAACTTCATTCCCTCAATCCACACTTCTCTGTTTGTCACCTCAGATTACACTCAGTCCCTTCAGCCAGCAAGTGGGGAAGGACACCATATTGTCAGTACTTAGCAGTTTCTCCCTGCTATTCCCTTCTTCTCTCACCTTTCCTCTGTTCCAGCATGAGTTCTTCCGTGGACTGCAGTGCTTCAGGAAGATCTTCTTTAGCACAGGTCTTCCATGGGTGGCAGGGAGTATCTGCTCTGCCAGGGAGCGAGCCCTCCTCCCCATCCTCTGATTTTGGTGTTTCTTTTGTCTTTCACTACTTTTATTTCCTCTCCCTCTCTCTATTCAAATATATTTTCCCTGAGATGTACCATCTTCTCTGAGAGCCTCAGCTGCGCTGGGATGGGTTGGATGGGTTGGATGGAACCTTCTAGAACTGGCTGTGTCCCGCTTGGGGCAGCCCCAGCTACTCCTCACAAAGGCCGCCCCTGAAGCCTCCTCAAAGAGGCTGTCCCTGAAGCCCCCTCACAGGCTGCTCCTGAAGCCCCTCACAGAGGCCACCCCTGAAGCCCCCGCTGCTGGCGCCTGGGTAGGGACACCCGGCAGGAGCAGGTAGACAACGTCCTCGTGAAGGTGCATCAAGCCTCATCTGAGAATTCTGGGAGATTAAAAAATCAGTAACTGATTATCTGCTCGATTCCTTTAAATACATAAGAATGAAAGAATATTATTTTGAAACAGATTTACTGTATTTTATTTACAGATAAGACAGACTAGATCTGTATTGGCACGAACAATAAAAACGAGTTTATTATGGCTGTGGGTAGCACCCCTTCACACACCTATTGAAATAACACAGTAGAAAGTTGGTGGTGTTCACTGGGAAAATTCTTACTCCGTATCTAAGGAAAACACACAAACTCTCGCAGATTTTTTGCAAAAATATCTATTCAGACTCCTATAAAGTCTGACATGTAACCAAGTTAACAAAATATTTATTTTCAGAGAGGGGAGCTGAACAAAATTCAGAAGATGGATACCAACTGTATCTCTGACTTAAATGCAATACTGTGTAATGGCTTGAAAATTGAGGCAATTAAGATTTGTTTCTGAACAATAAGCTGTGATACAATGGGATCATGAACTGCTCAGATGAGCCAAAAAAGTGAACTAGGTACATGTATACAGTATATAAGAATATAAGATTTCTGAACCAAGGAAGGATAATTATGTAGAAATTTATCCTGAAAAATAGGAATATGCTAATAGTTATGTGATAAAAATCACACGAAAAATAGCTGAAATCTGCATCAATTATGAAGAATTAATAAATACATTTTCATGTTAAGCCCAGGTTTTGGCTTTTCAACCACTGAGGAAAAGAATAATATGTTAAACACTTGCTAGTGAAATTTCTTACAGGAATATTTAGTTTTCAGTCGCATTTTCCTTAACAAAAGTTTCTCAGTTTCTGAGAGAATTCAAAGAATAGAATCACACAAGTTTAATGGTTAGGCACTTTATGGAATATGGAACATCTATAATCAGGTCCCAGTACCACCACATCCCTCATAAAGTCTAATTACTAGGCTACTGGTGATACTGCAAAGATGACTGAGTCTTCTCTTCTTTGAAAAAAACTTTCTGATCTAACATAGTAACTTTTTTAATTTCAAGGAACCTAAAATTACTATTTAGTAATAATACAGAGATAATAAACAAAGACCTTGGTAACACTGGATTGTTCAATTGGTGAGTCTACATTACTGACAGATTAGTAAGCTAGTGAGGAGGACTAGGGGCTGATTTGGCACAATCTGTTGTGGTTTTAGGATCATTCACCCTCACTGTATCTGTACTAGCAGTGACATTTACTCATGAACTGTCACTTAACTGTTGGAGAACCTTGAATCCACTGGGCACCCAAGGGGTATGCTTTCTCATTTCACCAAGAGGAAACCACCTGGTGCCATTGTGTTAGTGTTGCAATACTGCAATATAGACATAAGAAAACCATTCAGCTGAAAAGCATGTCTCCAGCATCCTAAATCCAAAATCAATGCATAGATGCACCCAAAGCCATTACTAAAAAGAGACAAAAAGCTTTGCCTATTTCAATTCTCTGTTGTCTAAAATATATGAACTACTGATCTCGGAGTGTGGCAAAGAAAGCCCATAGAGAAAGCATTATATAAGGTGATGTGAAAAGCTACTTTAGAGCATTTTTATAGGTAGGGATTGGTCCACTAAATAGGCTTCATAAAGGAAGGCAGTCCAACTGACTTATGCAACTTAAGTGAAGGACGGTTTCTCTCCTTCCTTGCCTTACAAAGGCACAGACGGTCTTTAAGACAAGCTTGAAAGAAACAGATGATATGTTTTTGTTGAGTGCCAAGTAATATTTGTTTCCAAAAATTACTGGTCTAGAAAAATAAGGAACAAAAGAAATTTTAACAACTCTCTGTTAATGCAAATTCAGGGTTGAGGCGCCGTTATTTTAGCTACATTAAGTTCTTTTCTTTGCCTTAGGGGACACCGTGGTTAGACGAGCAATGTAACCACAATTAACTGACTTATTAGAAAGAAAAACAATTTAAACAAACAACCAATAAACAACATTATTTCATTACACTGCTTTCCTTATGTCTTTAGGGTTTTTTCTTTTTGTTTTTGTTTGGTTTGGTTTGGTTTCGGTTCTTTGTTTTGTTTTGTTTTGTTTTCCAGGGAGCTTTTAGGAGGAATTTCAGCTTTGAGTGCTGTTAGAGGAAAATGTATTATGCTGGATCCAACAGCCTGACAGGTAAGGCTGCATCCACTTCATGTCCCCAGGCCCAAACGGCAGTGAAGCTGAAGATGTGTTCCCAGCAGGTGTGCACACACACAGAACACCTATGCCACATATACATACATGTATATATACATATGTACATATTCATGGTCGGCCACAGATCAGACAGATATGCAGAACACACACACAAATCAGGGAGCACCCACAGCCTCATTCTGCTCCCTTCTTTAGCTTGACAGAGTAGAGGTCCAGTGGTGAGAAATATATATACACATATATACATACAATATGGGTCTCCAGCAGCTGCGTTTACTCAGTCTTCCCAGTAGCTTCCCCTGCACCCCATTCTCTCCAGTTGCTGGCACCTGGACATATGGGCCCCTGAAGCAGCAACCCCACTCCAGTTGCTGGTACAGGCAGTCACACAAACACAGCTGGCCTAAATGAATTTATTAGTGCAACAGCAATCTTACATCAAGACTGGTGAACTCTGTTGATTGCAGGCAACCTTAAGCAGTTTATGTGCAGGAAAAGGTAAGTGAAAAGTAAATTATTTTCACTAAAGGCTACACACAATGGCTTTTAAAATGTAATTGTAATGATAAACAGAAGCTGCAAACCAGAAAACCTCTGTTCGGCTGCCATCAGCTCCAAGCTACCCATGTCAATATTCAGAATCGCCCCTTTCTGTGTAGCACAACAATTTACCTCACACCTAAGCCTGTTTAGAAATAGATCCACATACTCAGGTTTCCATGACCCAAGGCTCTTGAGGGGATTGACCTGAATGCAAGTAGTGAACATGGGTGCAATTGTAGCCAGTGCTTTCCATGAAAATTATTTTTATGGCATCAGCCTTTCATAGATGACCATGGCTAGTTCATCTCCCCAAGAATCAGCAAACTCAGTTTTTCCTCTCAAGAAAGAAGATCCAAAGTCCTGTCCTATGGCTTTGATAAAAAGATTAAATATGATTTCTCCTTTGCAATACCATGAGCAAATAAATGAATTTAAAATTCACAGACCCAGAGATAGTATGAGTTGGTGAATAAGTAGTTTGAATTTTCTCAAAGGGATAGTGAATCATGGTTCCCAATTCCTACCTAGCCTAGTTTGTGGATTTTATCCAGTGATTCCTTAACACAAAATATGAGAATCCTAGGGCTGGGAGTTGAAAGGTGGATTTTAACTGCTCTAAAATTCTCTCAGCTGCTCTAAAAGCTGCTCTTTATTATATATATAGTTCTCTGAATAAAAGAATATTTCAACTCACTTTCCAAACGGTGTTTTGAGACATGAGTCCACAGAGACATTTCAGAAAGGCCTTGATCCTAGTATCTTTTTTTCTAAATTTTCATCTGTATTGTACTCTAGCAGGCTATTTTCCAGTAATTACAGCAGTTGTTGGCTGGCTTGACGTGTGTCATACTCCACAAAGCCTAACCAATCGCCTCTCACCTCCATGAAGCAAGATATAAGTCTCCACAGCCATATGATTGTGTCAGATTTCCTATCCATTTCTCATTACTTCTTCTCAGGACTTTGTGATTAACAATCTATAACACTCTGTTTCTTATTTTGAATATAAGAATATTTTTATATTGCGCTCCCTGACGTATTGGTCAAATGTTGTGTCTTTGAGTAGTAATGTTTAAGTTCTGTTAATAATGTCCTGACATTGATACTATTTTAATTTATAGCTAGCATTTTCAGAGAGGCACTGACTGCATCATGTATACATAAATGCTGGCACCCATTTTGAAACAATATTCTGCTGCAAAACCTTTCTGCATAGTAATTTTGAGGAAAATAACAAAAATTTTGTCACACTCCTCTCATTTCTGGAATGTCTGTCCTTGAATAAATCTTTTGCTTTTTTGAACTTCCCTCTCCCACCACCTGCTGTTATCAGGGAGGTAGTTGTGCATCAGGTTTATAAATGCGTCTGTTCTGGGTGCTGGTTTATTTCCTTAATGTCAGTAATGGTGAAATAGAAACTGTATTTAATGACTTTGCAGTTTTCAACAGTAACACAAGAGGCAAAAAAGCAGTGCCCATCTGTTAAAAGCAAAAAAAAAAAGAAGGATCTGGGTATTTATAAACCCATAGCTGAACCTCAATTCCTAGAAAAAGTAATGGCATAAATAATCAAACAGTTTGGTAAGCCCTTACAAAAGGACAAGGCGGTGAGTAAGCGCCTACATGGTTCTGCCAAAGTCAGGTAGCGTCAGACCAATATGACTTGCTTTTATGAGAGGATAACAGGCATTGCGAATACCGGAAGAAAAGTGGATGTCAAATATCTCGGGGTTAGTAAGGCTTTTGACGTTGTTTCACACGTCATTTCATAAACAAACTTAGGAAGCAGGGTCTAGATTTCAGAAAGAATGGGTGCAAAGCTATATTCAGGCACTGATTATCAATGAGAATGGCAGGTTTCCACGGTGGTCTGGTTTGACGCTTTGCTTTTCATTAATATTTTTCAATATCTACGTTTCAGATAACAAGAAATTAAGAAGGGTGACAGGCATGTTGCAGGACACTAATAAGGTAGCAAGAATAGTAAATAATCCAAAATATTTTTTAAAAAGTGGAGGTATGGTCTAAGAAAATATTGGATGCTGTTCAAATAAGGACAAGCACAAGATCATTACAAATAACAAAGAACAAATCTCAATATGCTGGTAGATCAGAATGTGAAAAAGAAAAAGACAAAAGACATCAAAGACTGCATCCAGGAAAGGCATTTTCAGAAGAGACAAGTGAAAAAATACATTTATATAAAAAGCTTTGGTGATATATACAGTACTGGCCACCCATGTTTACAAAAGATTCATTCATACTGCAGTAGATTCAACACAATAATGCTTCCAGGAACATGTGGGGAACAGGATGCCTATTTGGAAGAAGAAAAATGGCTTTCCTTCTTTTGCCTGCAAAACAAAGGGTAAGAGAAGATATAACCAAGGAGATAAATCACTGTCCCACAGCCTCCATCACATGCATAAACTCCAGGGAGAAAAAAAAGCACCCTATTTAAGGTAAAGGATGATGTTGACACAAGAACATGATGAATATAAACTGCCCATAAATTAAATTAGGTTGTAAATTATAACACTTCTAACCATCAGAGGAGTGACATTCAGGGCAGGGGGAGGAGGGGGAATTCAAACCTAATAAACTGATTAAGCTCAATCTTGAAGATAGCTAAAGGAATTATGATGAAGAAATTGCCGCCTGCTATAGCAGTTGGGGCTCGTCTTCATGCTTCAGGAGAGCCTTTTCAGTTCCAAATTCTTCCTTCTAAATCTGAATTTAAGGTAAGTATATACAGTGACTGGTATACTTCCTTTAGCAATATGTGCCTATATACCCTCAGTAATAAAAATCTATATACTCCGCCACTCCCTGGCACTTCCCTGGGAGTGCAGTCTGGGTTCTGATGTGCCATAGACTGCAAGGGATAACATTCCTCACCTTCAGGGGACACCATCCATTGGCATCTCAGCACCACCCCAGCACTGACTTTGGCAACACTGAGTAGCAACCATGGACCCCTATGCACCCCCTCCCATGCCAATCCCCACATTAATTCCCTTGCATTAGCCTGCACATCCTGATGGCAGAGCTCCTGATCACTCATGCTCCCTGTGCGTGAGTTAAACTGGAAGCTAGGCACACATCTGCTCAGCCTACCTGTGAGATTTACTGCTCAGCAGGCAACTTCTCACACTACGTTTTGGATCCCAGCTGCAGCTGACTGGGTCCACCTCCTGCTCCTTCCTCCCTTGCCATGTGCCAAATGTGCCTGCGTGTGCCTTCCCAGGATTAAATCACACACTGCTGAAGTCTGTGCTACTGCAGTTAGGCTGATTTTGGTGAGCAGGATAGCCAGATTATAGCTGAGGAAGTGTGGGGTGTGATATAGGAAGCTGATGATGTGATCTTACCTTCTCAGTTAACATCTCTGCTGGGGAATTAGCTGAACGTTTGAGAGGGTTGGAACAAATGCTGTCATAGTAATTAAAGAAGAGCTCCTTCATCTGTTCCTTCAGCTCAAAAATGTACACTCAAGTTTCTGTTGCTTTTTTTTAAATTTCAAGGAGAGACACTTGTGTAATGAATATTTTTTTACATTTTCAGACTCAAGAGACATTAGAAAGCTTTGGAAGAGGTGACACTTTTATTTTGAAGTTTGAGAAGAACTTTCTGGACATTAATGATTTATTAATTTCTCAATTGACATCCATTTTTAATAAATATGGAAAGTTAAATTGTTATAACAATGAAAATACTAATTCTCCTTGCTATACAAATATGCAAAACTTCCGGCTTGACACATAACTTGCAAATGTGGAACCCCAAAATATATTCTTAAGCAAGTAAGAAGCAAATAAAATGCAAACACATTGGACATAACCAAAATATTTTCAATCTTATCATGCTATCTTTAAAAACAAAGACATTGAATTAAGAAATTATTTTCAATAAAATCACGGGACTCCACTTAGGAATTATTATTCATTCTTACATTCTAAACTTCAAGCACTTCAAAGTTGCAACTGCAGATTTATCACTGTTCCATGTAAAGTTACTCTCAGTCATGGAAAATTATATATATACACAGAGACAAAAATATATATTTAAAATCATTATATAAATGGAAATTATAAAGAAAGTTTAAACAAAACAGGTGTTCTGGACCTGTGTTTCTGAGGTTCTATAACTAGGAATTTTTTTTCTTGACATTCTGAGACTCTGCTATATTGACAGAAAATATAAAACTCCAGAAATGTCTGCAATTAGACTGACATTTTATATATTTAAATAAGGAACTAAAATAATCATTAGAACTACCATAATCTTTGAGAACCACACATGTATATATGCATGAAGAGAGAGAGAGAGAAGTATCTCTTAAAACTGTCAATAAAGACAACCCAAATGTTGCAATGTGCAACACTGTAAAACATCAGATGAATAAATAGTAATTTATATTTCCATGTCTAAATTTACCCTCTACAGATATATTGAATGATGCCAACACATTTCAGGATTGATCGGTCACTGGAACAGACTCCTCGGGGAAGTGGTGACGACACCAAGCCTGTTAGAATTCAAGGAGCATCTGGACAACGCTCTTAGTCATATGGTTTAGCTTTAGGTAGTTCTGCAAGGAGCAGGGAATTGGACTCCATGATCTTTATGGTTCCCTTCCAACTTGAGATATTCTATGATTCTATGAATCAGTAATGAATTTTCAGGTTTTGCAGAGAAGGAACAGAAATGATTTTTTGATTCTTGCTGTACACAAGATGATCACATTTCCCCATCTATTTTGTAGTGCTGATAAAAGCAAGCAAAAGAAAATATCTTGTATAGCTTGGAACATCTGAGAACACTAGTAGTATTCATATGGCATAAATGCAGTATGAATAATAGCAGCCTTCTTGTTAAAACCACAGACAACTAAAGCTCCTGTTATTAACTTGCCCTGTTATAATTCATATATGCTTTCTATCAGTTAGTTAATAAAAAACACTTGGGAACTGATTCTTTTCTCTGATATGCTGGTATAAATCAAGAATTATTCTATTATACACAGATTGTAAAAAAAGGAGTGTGAAGCCCAAAATAGCATGAGTATAGGGTGTAAATGTGAGAGACTGCACTTTTTGAACAGGTGGTAGATGTTTTCTAAAAAATGTAGTTTGAAAAATTATTTGATTCTAAAATCTCTTTCCTGGCTGGAATCCACTACTATTGAAGCCCATGATAAATTCCCCGTTCATTTAAGAGTACATTAAGGGGCTTTTGCAAATCCTACTCAGAATACACTGTTCTCTGGTGTTTCTGTGAGGATCTGCCTAATTCAGCAACCAAACAGAGGGAAACTGCTACAGCTCCATGGTCCCAGATCCAGCTTCTCAATAGACACCCATGCAAATACATTTACACCACTGGCCACATGGATCAACACAGACAGAAAACACTGCACTCATGCAAACATAAACAGCATGAATGAACTCATTCTGTTCTCCTTTCTAGCTAATCAGGATGAAAGTACACAACTTGTATCCCTCCAGCAGCTGGGGTCAGGCACTCAGGCTTCCCGGTAACTGGCACCTGGACATAGGAGCCTCCGAGGCCACAACCCCACTCCAGTTGCTGGTGTGCTATCCTGTATGCACACACGTGCACACACATTCCCACACAATATAGATCCCTCCAGTAGCCACCATTGCATGCTTGCCTTGTTCAGTAGCTGTCCCTGGATACCCTGTTTCCCCAGATGGCTCATACATAGACACGTGCACACATGCAACACATGCAATAAACACTCTACTAGCTGGTTCAGATCTATGAACCCTCCAGTAGCCCACTCCAGACCCCATGGTCTTTCCAGTACCTGGCATGGAACCCCTGGTCCCTCAGGAGCCAGCTGTCAGACCCCCTGGTCTCCTCAGCATCCAGACCAGACTTATGGCTGCTCCAGTACCCATCCACTGAGCCCCTTATCCCATTCACTGGATAGTCCAGCTTGAGGCACACCAGTGATTACCCACTGACTTACACACCTGCGCACAATGCACACGTTCTGTGGTCTCTCCAGTTGCTGCCACCTTAGACATGCTGGTCCCTGAGGCCCCTGTTCCCACTCCAGCTGCAGCAGTCAAGTCCCCAGGCACACATGTGCACACAGGACAGAAATCTCTGCACCTAGGAAAATAGTTAGAAATGGATTGTAATGAGAAGACAGGACAGATTGCGGTGACCAGGTCTAGGGAATGGCCAGACAACTGTGCTGACCAGCCCACGGCACACAACTGATCCTTTTTATCCCATTTTTCCTTTGTTTTCTCTTGCTTGTTCCTCACCAGTCATCTTTTATCCCTTCTTTTCCTCACCTTTGATCTTTCCCCTGAACAATACATTTTTCACAATTGCAGAAGGCTTTTCCTGACATCCTGTAATGACTCCCACATCCCCAAAGTCCATAATCACCTCCCATTGATTGACTGAGGCATCAGGCTGGTGGGTGCTGTCCTGGGGCCATGAGATGGAGCCATGTTGGGGGTTCCCTTTGCTCTGATGAGGTTGTTGGGGTCCCCCCAACTGTCATTGTTTCACTGAACTCCTTTGGGTTCATGGAGATGAGCCTTTAATCACATAGACTAACCATTACATGCCCACCTCTAATCTCTGATATATACCCTTCAGTTTTAAACACAAACTATGTGAAGGATTCCTCAGTGATAAATATTTCTCCTAAGAAAATAAAATGTTGAAAGAAATTGAAAGCTAAGGAAGATAGTACTATGAAGGACAATAATGGATGAGAAAGATATATTGGAAAATGGTATTATATCAGGAGGTACAAGCAAAATTCATGTCAGTAACTAAAAAGGAGAGACACACAACTTGTACCAAAATGCAGTATTCCTAAATAATCAGGTAAAGTGTACTTAAGGTAGTCAATCTGTGTGAATAATGCAAACTTGTCTGGAGGAAAGAAGACAAGGGAGACTATAAAAACAAGTGAAGAGGATGTAGAAAAAAGTTGTGAAGGAAAGTGTGGGAAAAGGACAAAAATCAGCACACTTGGAAGATATTTCAAATAAATAAGTTAAATGCAAGAAATAAAAAAACACACAAGGCAGGTTAAAATTATTACAATGATGTATTCATATTGTACTAGAATCTGACAAGGAAATAAAAAAGAACTTTGTTGCAGAAGGTACTAAAATAGATATATAGCCAAATACAGATACATCAAAGCTTACTGCTTGTTTATGTTGAAGTACAACAAGATCACAAAAGTAATAAGAAAATGGCAGAGAGGAAGGATTACTAGAACCAAACTAAAAATTATTGAGTAATTGCCATAAGTGAGATTTCTTCCTGAATAGTTATGGTAACACAGAAAAAAGTAATTAGAAGTAAAGTCCTGTGGGGTAGATTCACTGGTTTGATGCCTGAATTCTTCAACAGCTGCCTGTCAGCCAACCTTGAAGCTTTCATTGGGGTGGGACTTTATCAATGGAGAAGAGAATTAAATCCCTTCTTCCCCCATTTTTGTCCTAAAAGATCAGTGTCACTGAGTACAAATGTGACCTAAGGCAGTGCGGGGTGGTGTGAGCCACCTGCTGTGACAAGCCTGGGCCATAGCAGACCGGGACAAAGACACCTTAGCCAAGAGACAGGGAGGTGGCAATGGGATTGCCAAGTTGTGGCAGACAGTTAGATACCCAGCTGTGACCTGTTAGCTGGACCAAACCAAACCTCGTACAAATTCTGTTATAAAAATAATCTGTTTTGGAAATTAAGCATATAGTTTAGAAAGATGCTGCAACTGTGTGGGCTTCCTGGTGCTTGTCTTCTTCTCTTTCTTTGTAAAATCCACACTTTTCTCTCCAGATGTTGTGTATGTTGCTAGATGTGTTCATTCAAGGCTAAGATTAGTTCTTCAGCAGCTGACAATGAGTTGCTAGTACACTCGGTAACAGAGAGACGCTTACTTCAACAGATAAAGTTGTAGGAATGGATATGATCAATGGGAAGCTTTAGAAACCAGCCCAGCATAGTTCCATTACTTTCACTATGAAAGCAGTCTAGTAAAAAGCTACAAAACAAATTGCCATGAAGAAAAATACTGAGCAGAAAATGAAGGGGAAAATAACAAGCTTACAGGATAAAATTCATCCAAAGCTATTCCACAACACTTTACAAATTATTTACATGGTGACGAGTGTGCTTTGGACTGTATCAGGAATATTTGCAACTATAATGGGGAGGAGATATTTTGTAGACTATAGAAAGGCAGTAAGCCTCCCAGAACAGATAGACCTGCCTGCTTAAATTCAACTGCATTGAAGGCAAACACATGAAATAATATGTCAGGGATTGACAATATGGCAGGGATTGCCTGTTTTTCTAAAAGGGTGAGTTGCTCTAGTCAGCTGTTCTACCAAGACTCATAGCAAATATTCTCACAAGATGGAGGCATCTTATGTCTGTTAATGTAACCATTTAACCATTTGTTGTGGCGGGTCTAAAATCCCAACTTTCTTGTCCCCTCTGTCTCTGAAAGGTTAAACTGTTTCTTAATAATGAAGGAAAGAAATCTGACTTTTGAACAAAAGGAAAATACAATCAAAGGTGCAAAGCTGCTTAAAATCAATAGAGCACTGCACATGGACATGTCAAGTGTGAAAATGGAATAGAAACAATGAACTGACTTTACATTTAATGCAGTAGAGACTAATGAAAAAAACTTACCTAGAAAAGTCTTTAGACAAATCATAAATATTGAGGTATAGCTGTCAGGGAGTTTCTAGTGCTGAGTATACTCACTTAAATAAATTTTAAAAGCAAATTTTAAACTAAATTAATTAGCATTAGAGTAGTATTAGTTCTGAAATGGCCAGTCTAGAAAAACCTTGAAACATTTCTGCCACTGGCAGCAGCAATCTAGCACAAACTCCACTGACATTCTTTTTGTTAATATTCTTTTGGATGATGTTAGTATTTCTGCAGCTTCAGATTTCATGAGACTGAAATATAGCCTGTCAGTTGAGGAGATTTAAATAGCTCTATTTAGCTATTTGTCATTTTGATTTAGTAATTGGCAAAACATTAAATTTTTGAGATTTCAAGCACTTTTATGGCATCTTAATTTTGAAAAGTAAAATTTAGTAGGCAGACTCTAAAGCTTCAGTTGCTTCTCTTAATTGTATTACTTCTCTAAACTATGCAGCTGTACAAAGGGCTTTCAAAGGAGTTCTTGAATATGCAGTTGAAACTGCTTAGCATAACATTTGTCCATTGTACCTTTGGAGCATCATCACTGTGCTTAAACACAGAATATATTTTTTCATAGCTCCAGAGGGTTTTTGGTTTTGTTTTTTTTTACTAGTCTAAAAAGGTTACACAACACTTTAACACTTTCATAGATTCCTATGAGGTAAATGTTGTTACAACTCTGCCCGTATTAACTCAGTGCATGGCTGCAACGCTGCTGTGGTATTCTGTGCAGTGACCTGATTAGTTCAGCAGTGACAGAACAATGAGGGGAAATTGTAGTGGGAAGCAATAATTTCTATTAGGTGGGTTTTTTTGTGCACAAGAGACATTACCATCTCTAGATATGGTGAGAACAAAGAGAAGTATTTTTTTGCCATCCTGTCAACTTGATTCAAGAGCAAACACAAAACAGTTCAAGTGCTTTCCATGATATATGAATTTCCTTTTTGAGCAGCTTTGCACAACTCTGTGCTGAGGGTTATGTTTGAGAGGCTTTTATGAGCATAGCATGGAATTGGTTGTTTTGTTGTGTAGCTTCTTATATGACACAGGGTCGATTTTTATTTAAGAGTTTACAACTGATTTTGTGGAGTTCACCTTCTAAAGAATGCATACCTCTGTGAAAACCCATGATTCTGAGGTCACCCTGAACATTGGCTAGCAATAAATTAAAATAAGGGGGAAATAAGGGAGAAGCATAAGGCCTCATCAGTGTTGAAACATTCCTTAAGTAAAGGAGGTATGTGAAGAAGTTTTAAACAGTACAATTTTTTCTCTGCAAGTGAAAGTTACTAACATGAGAGTTAAATGTCAGAAGGTACCTTTGTGTCTGACAATAACTGGTTCTGACGTATTTGATCTAAAATGCATTTATATTCACAGGAGTAGAACCCAGGACGCTTTCCTTAGTATCCTAATCTCTGGGCTATGAAGCACATCTTTCTTGCTCGATGCCTCGTATTTCAATGTGCTGGCTTGCTGGGATACCCTTCTAAGGCACCCGCTCTCCCTGTGCAGCATCTCTTCTTTGCTGCAGAGTAACACAGATTCAGAAGGAATGCTGAAAGAGCAGCCCTCTGATGGAGAGTGCATTTTCTCAATGAATGAGATAGAAGTCTGAATATCTAAAAAGCAAGTAAGCTATAGGACCTGTGTCTCAGTAATAATGCAAAAGGTGAGACTGCATTTTCCTCACATTAGGATCTCTTCTATTTTTACAGGTTCTCAAACTAAAGAGGATTTATGGACACTGGATCTCAAGAGAATAGAGGCACCCAAGTTCTTTTCAGATAACTCCCAATTCTGATCATTTCCTCTGTGGAATATCTAGGCAGCTCCTCACCATGATGCTCTGAGGCATTGTTCAGAGACACCCAAATCTGCATATGACAGAGGAAAGTTTTGTACATAACTTTGTATTTCCTTCTGGGTGCCTACCTCAGAAGCCCTTTGGCCATGATATTTAGGAACCTATGTATACAATTAGTTCCTCTTGAAAGGATTAGGAGTTAAGCTTAGCAATGTTTACAGATCTTAAAATTTGTATCATGAAGCCTCCCATATATTAATAGATATGAACCTTGGCACTCCCAAGGTTAAGACTTCTTATTCTTACTTACAAAGAACCTGTTACGCTGGTGATACTTCATTCTCTGAATTCCATGTCAACTCATTATCCTGCACAAAACCTTATGCCATCGGCTACCATTTGTTGTCTCCATTCACATCTAACATTTGACTGTTTTATGCCACTCTATGCCAGCAAGAGATTTGTAACAAACCTACTCCAAAGCTTAATTCAACATATCCCAAAATTTCAGATATAGGGAGTACGCAGTATTTTGCTATTATGGGAAAATACTGTCTATGAATACGATCAGCTATTAAGTCTAACAGGAAGAGTAGAAGTGTATAAC